TACATAGAGGCACATGCAACGTTATGACTCCCTCATGTCTGATTTTGTTTTTGTTGATAGCATATCATACTTTATTTTCCCCCGTTTGAATAAAGCAGTTGTTCTTTATTCGGTTCCTGTTTCTTTTCACTTCTTTTCTTGTTTTTTCTTGCCTTTTTTCTTTTCTTTTCTTTTCTTTTCCTTTCTTTTCTTTTCTTTTCTTTTCTTTTCCTTTCTTTTCTTTTCAATCTTTCGTCCTCCCTTCTTTTTCTTATTAAAAATTATATTGTGTGTGTATGGTGGGGGAGGGGGGTCATGCAAGAGAGGTTTTAAACAAATTACTATATAGATATGCTGAAGTACTGTCATTTCGAGCTTGAAACCCAGCTGAACAGCGCATAAATAAACAGCGTTCTAAAAGCGTGGCGAAAACACCGGTGATCAACAGAGCTACATTCCTAACAAGTGTGTTTCCTGAAAATAGGGACACTCTGATCAGCACATGTATTCATTACCTATAACATTAAAACATGTTGCTATGTGAAAATAAATAATTTATTTTAGTGAATAAATTGCATCTTATTGATCATCGTTGGGGAATTCGGGGTGCAATGGCGAACATACTTACACAAATACATAATCATTAATACATATATACATACGTAAATACCTACCTAAATACATACATAAATCAGTGGGCTTTTGTGGGCTAGAGTTTAAGGTGTTGGCCTCTCATTCAAAGGTCCCGGGTTCGAATCATTTTCTTCTCTAAAATTGTCTCCTTTCACCACCTTTCCTGCTCTCTAGCAATGTTCTGTCGTCTATTTTCGTCTCCTCTTTTTGCCCCCACCCCTTCACCTCATTTGTCCCTCCTCCTCTGGGCTCCTAACTCTTTCTGCAGCCTTTCCTACTCCTTGGCTCCTTCTTACTTCTTACTACTGTCTTTCAGCCACACCCCTGATCTTCAGGCAGGAAAGATCTTCACCTAGTCTTATCTGACAAGTTGCGCACGTTAAATATCCCTTGGTGGTCCAAAATCGATAAGAGTAGGCTTCGGCCGCCACACGGGCAAAATTCAAAATTTCCTACCAAATGAAAAAGTTTAATGTATCCCGCACACTCATATGACCTTATGCAGTTGCGAGCGCCGTAAAACACTTATGAAAAAAACCAAAAAACCAAAAAAACCCAAAACACACTAAAAACAACACCCCCCCCCCCTTCCCCTAAATCCATAATATCAGACAAATACAGAACAATTTCATAAACATGCCATTGCTGATTGCCACTGTGCCTTGCTCAAGGACACACCCTAGTGACCCCCTATCAAACCTTGGCATTGCTTTTTGAGTCTGATATAGCCAAGGGTCCCCATTGTATTATCAAGTAAGTGCCGCTAGTTAAAACAAAGGAAACAAAGGATTATTATCTTTTTGGTTGATAGGGTTAAGTCCACTGTCTAATCAACCCAGTTAACAGTAAACGATAGCGCGTGGAACCAATTATATTATGGCGTCATGACCAACACTTCTTCTTAGGACAACTAAAAACTGGATCGATAACAACGATAACAATGACAACTGAAAAGGGTACCGCTCTCTCAAAGATATTCTCCAGCAAGATTTGTGAAAGGTAAAACAGAATCGGTGGTTGGCAGGTGCTCTGGTGAGGTTTGCTCCTTTTTTACAATCAAACATCTGCCGTCCTTATCTCGGCCCCCCCCCCCCCCCCCCCCCCTTTTGTGGTTTTTGTTACTCTTTTGCAATGATTCTATTCTTCGGAACTTATATGACCTAATTGTGTTGCAAGTACCGTAAAACTCTTCCTAGAAAAGGTAAAACGGTATATACCTGTACAGAAACTCTGACTACCAATTATTGCCCATAAAATACGCCTGAGATAGGTTTTTGGCAGTGTCTGCAAGGGTGTTTCTAAGACCCTATTCTGTTTGATGAATTGGTTACAGCCATTGGTTTTTTTAGTGACGAAAGACTTAAGAGACAGAAAGAGAGGACACAGATAGACAAAGAAAGAAAGAAAGAAAGAGAAAGAGAAAGAAAGACAGAAAGAAGTAAATAAATAAAGAAACAAAGAAAGAAACAAAAAAACAAAGAAAGAAAGAAAGAAAGAAAGACAGAAACAAACAAACAAACAAACAAAACAAAGAAACAAAGGGGAACTAAATGAAAGAAAAAAGGAAAGAATGAAATGAATAACAAACAAGCAAACAGCAAAAACAAAACGAAAGAAAGAAACCAAGAAACGGAGACAGAAAGAATGAATGAAAGAAAGAAATAAAAAAAGAAAGAAAGTAATGGAGAAAAATGGAAAAGTGGTTGAAGCGGCACCACAAATCCCAAGCCCCAACAACGTGCAGTTGTGAAGTGCAAGGTCGGTGTATCTTTCTATCTATTGCTACCTTATTATTTCGGGCAGATTAACCGTATTGCCTGTTTAAACTGGGGGGGCTTCCAAACCGCTTACCGTCTTGGGGGCCGGTTTGACGAGCCTTTGGTGTGGCGGGACGACGGGCGACTCAACACCCCACCGTTATGCCGCCAAGGCGTCAGGCTGTATAGACAAGTGGTGTAACTTATGTTTGAACATTGCAAGACATAGAAAAGCTGAGGGTGTACGATTGGGACAAGATATAAGGGTGTGATGTTATGGGGTGTGCACTCGGTGCGATATGCCGAGGTCGAAACTCGTTTGACATTGAACTACTTGTACTTCGAGAGAGATTTGTGGTTTTTACGTGAGTTTCTGACTTCAGGTTGTATGAGGGCTCGAAGGCTGAGCCCTTTGGAATTTTGATGGATTTGCGCCTAATGGGCAGCCTGTTGCATTACCGTAGACAATGCGACGTCATTGGTTTGCTTCTCACGTTTAAGTGTAACACACACTGCAGCACAGCGGGTTGATGACGTAGGGTTGGAATATCATTTTCGAACACTGTTAGCTCATTTGGAAAGATGTTGCTATACAGAGCGCTTGAGCTGGGTCTGAATCTGCTTCAGAACATAGATTATGTTTTCCTTGCTATGTCTTTCTTTTCTACCTTGAGTCTGGATTTTAAAATTTTCCCTTCCTTTGAATGTGGGGTTCTTCTGACATCTGTTCTTGGGTTCCAGCGCCGATTTTGATTGAAGTTGTGTCCCTCTTGCAGACATCTTTGTCTCACAGAGTAGTCGGAAATGTTTTCTTCCTTCCGTTCATTAATTCTCCATAGAGGAGGTTTTTCGAAATCCCCCTTCACTTTCTCAGCGCTGAGAGCGCCCTAGCCATCTGAGTCGGCGTTGCATGAGCAGTGAAAATCTTAATATCGTATAAGAATACAAAATGCTTCAATGTAATCAAAGGATCAATGAAAGCTGGTTAAAATGTACCACATGATCAGTTTTTCACTAGTAGCAAATCCATTAGCTTGAATAAGAACAAAAGGTTTCTTGCTGCGATTTATTGCCGAGAACATTGCGAAAAGTACTGGCGTTGTGAGTTAGGAACACATGCGTTAACCTATTTCGTATTTGTATGTGTTGCAACTAGTAGCCAGCTTAATAATATGGCTTTTTGCGTCTTGACACACGATTTTAGAGCCAATACAGTTTTACCTGGGTGTAGGCCTAGAGGATGAAGTAGGTTGGCCCAGTAGTACTTCCCTCTCTTTAGATCTTGGCTTCCGTGATATGCTCCAAAGGAGAGACATTTGCAATACGTTTGGAATCAAGTGTAAGGGATGCCATACTATTTTACAGGTGTGATAGCGATATTTTTTAATGGCTGGGTAGTTTTTTATTCTTTATTTTGCCCGTGTGGCGGCCTAACAGTCAACTCTCCTACGATTTTCAACCACCGATATAACTTTAACGTGCGCATAGAGCCCACGGGCTCTCGGAGATTTTTCGCCCGTATACGAGAAGACCAGGGGTGTGGAGGAAGGAAACTGAGAGAGCAATGTTTTTGTTATATGTCGCGAACAAGCAAAGAAAATAAAAGGCATATTTGGGGCTGGAGACGGGTTCTCAACATCAGATCGTAACTCGTAAAAGAAAGGTATAATAAATAAATAACCGAACATTAGAATCTACATCTCTTTAAAAAAACACAAAAAACAAACTGAGCTTTCTAACAAAAAGAAGGAGTAAAAAAATCAGAATATTGCTTCCCGACGCAATTTTGACAACCCTGCTTTCCAATGGCGATTTTTGAGATTTTAAAGTTCTTCATTCGGAAAAAGAGTCTTCACTACTTCAGTAATCAACCTCTGGGAATCGCCTAATGCGTGCCAGACGTATTGAATTTTCATTTTGTCGCTAGTGACTGAAAAGTAGGTACACATTATATTTATTATATTACATTCACCGACAACGGAAAATGAAAAGATTACAATTTGAATGCGAAAGCTGCTAAAAGTCTCGCCAAACTGCCATGCATCTTTTTATACGTCTCACACCAATGTATGCGTTTATCGATGTTAAATTGGACAACCATAATTGCTGTATCCCTCGGAACTCCAGCTCCCCCTCCCCCTCCCCCCGAAAAAAAAATCCCCACCTACGTTTTTCGGCAGCCACTTCGTTTCGTTTTTTTTTCCTGTTCCCAGCTCCGCCCCGTCGCCAATCTCAGCAAGCCACAGCCAATTAGGTCCCGTAACTCTGTTGGTCCATGTTTGGTCTGTCTCAGTAATCCTCCCCTCGGCACGGAAAAAGGAAAAAAAAAGTGTACAATAATCAACACCCCACCGATCGCTTGGATACCTAATGTCAACAGATTTCTAGACAGGGATAATTTGCTCGGAGAAAACCCTTACCGCTCGTCGACGCTCGGGATCATCTGGGGAAAGGGAGAGGAAAGAATAATAAAATAGGAGGGCGGTCTCGGGAACAGGCCAGCAAAACAGTGTTACATTCAGCCTCCCCTTTGACCGCGCCGCACAGGGTAAATTTGAGGATCGGATTACCAACAAAAGGCTGAAAGAGATCGACTGTGGTGTTCTGTCGGTTCCGCACGGTCTTGGGGGACGCACGATACACCCCGAATGACGGGTTTGCTGTAAAACGCGGGCTATCATTAACATAATTCACAAGCGAAAGCTGTTTGATCTGATAGCTTCCAGATTTCAAGCCATGGAGGCTGAAACTAAAGAGGTGGTTTGTTCCGCAAGTACTGAGGAAAAAACAAAGAGTCATATTATACACCCGAAGTACGCGGAGATTTTCAACTTCACGTACAAGAACTTGCAATGCCTCCCTGGCATTGTCGTCACAAAGGACTCCGATTTCAGCGATAATAATGCAGAAGATGACGACAAACCTCTAGATTATGCCGTCAACTTCAGCGTGGGAGGCAAAAGAAAGGAGCACCCAACCCCGTTCTATGTTGAGGACATTCTCAGCCCCAGGAAATGTGACACGGACCGAGGACCTCTGGCACATTTTGGTCGTGACTTACACACGTCTTTCCGTTACAGAGATGAACACATTCTCAGAAGACGGCACAGCTCTTCAGACCATACAGGTATGTCTCCACAAACTGTGAAGATTAGTAGTCAAAATGGGTATTCTTTGGAGTAACCATTCTAGTGCTAATCATTTATAAGGTTGGCTTTTTTAAATGAACGTGCGAATTGTATCACGTATTTTCGTGTTGGTGGTTTTCCTTTGCCCCCCCCCCTCCTCGCGCGTTCTCTCTATCTCTCTCTCGCTCTCTCTCTCTCTTTCTCTCTCTCTCTCTCTCTCTCTCGCTCTCCCTCTCCCTCTCTCTCTCTCTCTCTCT